CGCCCCGGCTGCAGCCCCGAACGGCCGTACCGCGCCCGCCTCTGGTTTACGTCTGTTCGCAGCACCAGGCAAGGGGAGGAGACTGAGCCGGCTTTTGATTGGACAGCAGGAAGAAATGGGGCGGGAAGAAGCCCAGTGATTGGTGGGGACCGCGCGTTCCTGGATTTGAAGCGAGGAAGCCGCGCGCCCTGCGCGTCCGGGGAAGAAGGAGGAGGAGGAGCTGGAGCTCTGCGCCGGCTGGGACCCGGGGGCTGCTCCCGTTGGCGCCGCCTTCAAGGTCTTGGCGAATTTGAAAATAATGCTTACTTTATTCAGTTTGGGGCTCCAGGGCACCGCCAGTCACTCTATGCGCAAAGAAGTATTCCCCGCCAACAAATCCCCCCGATAGGTTTCGTCCTTCCGTGGGCAGATGCAGACCTTCCTGTTGGTAGACCTGAGAGGCGTCGGGTTTCACCTTCAGTTAATTCCTCGGGATCCAAGTCTCATGACAGTTCCCACATCTAGTCGCCTCTCTGTGACACAGTAGGCTTTGCCTCGATTGGGAAAAAGTGAGGTGAGGCATAATTTGTCCCTAAGTAGCTTCCTACTTTTGTCCATCCTTCTTAGGCCACAAATCCCATCCCCGCCATGTGCTCGGCACAAGCCCTTAACTACTACACTGCTTCACTGAGACCACGCCTTTCACTCAAAATGTATCTCAGTCTTTTTCAGTAAGGTCCCTTATCTCAAAATTCATTCCATATAGTCACAGAAGGAAAAGAGTCCCTCTTTTCCAAAGCTAACCCCTTAACTTCATTCAAGTTACTGAAAGATGCCCCGCGCACTTTGGAGGAGAGAATAGGGAAAATGCAAAGTTTAGAAGCCCCTAGACCTGAGGTTAGCTCGGTGGGGAAAGACGTCTGTTTACTTGACCGCTTTCTACCTCCTGCAAACATGGCTCAGCTGTCATTCTTGTATATCCTCGCCATTGTTTTCCTTCTCTCTGCCTACAAAAATGCAGCACCTCTCTATCCAAACACATTCACCACACATGCCACACACACCACTCACATCAAACACACAGCCACACACACCCACATACAACCCCACACACGCATACACACATCCACACACAACACACACCCACGTACACCCCCCCCCACACACACACAAGACACACATCGCCCACACACCACACCCCTTCCTTGATTCTGTTTCATCACCTAATGACCATTCTTGGCTCCTTCCCTTAGTGGTCTCCACTTTTTTTTCCATAGAGGAAACCAGGCTTCCACTTTTTATACCTGATTTTGACGCATTTCATGGTGTCTATAGCTGGGTCCTGAAAACTTAACATTTATCAGGAATAGACTCCTAATTGTCAAACTCAGTGATTATCTCCACAGTTCTTTACACCTCTTCTTGGAACCCTGCAGCCTTGGTATTTGCAAAGAGTAATTACTTTATTCTACCTTTGTCCACACTCAATGAGCAAAGATGAATGCAGAAAATCTCAAGATTTTCTGAATCCCAAAAAAGTAAGCCAAATGCTTCGTTAGCCCTAGAGCTGAAAGGGTATACTGGAGTGTAATGAGCCACATTTCACATTTCTTTCTCAGAGTATCTTAACCTCTTTCTACAAAGCGGTCACACATTGGAAGTGAACTGCTTAAATATGTCTACATGTTCCAGACTGTCACTCACACCAAATCCTTAAAAAATGTCCTTCCTCCATAAATATCCTCAAGTCACCAAAGCACTCCGCACAACACTCAGCAACCTGATAGAACTCTATTGACAGAGATCTCTGATTCAGTCTCGGCAGCAAGACAGCCTGGACTCCGACGCCAGGCTGCCTGGATCTGAATCCTGGCTCGCCCTCCCTCTTCCAAACTGTGCAGCCTTGGGCAAGGAACTTTAACCTGCTGGTATCCTTGTCTGTAAAAAGGGGATAAAGCGTTTGCCTCAGAGGCTTACTGTGAGGATTTAAAGCGACTCCTGTAAGGTATCTAGAGAAGTACTGGCTCATGGAAATACTCAGCAAACATTAGCTATTATCTTATACCTCAGGATCTCACCTCAGTGCCGACTGGAGAGGAGGAACAGAACTCCCACGGTGATTTCCAAATCTCTTTAGACGCTGAGTAGAGCCTGCAGAGGCCCCATGACCAGGGTGCCTCCCAGGGAATTAGAAGCGAGGCCTATCCAGTTTTAAGTTGACATCTCTCAGCTCCCCTTTTACCAACTGCTTAAAGTGGTATGCCTCAGCCACCAATACCCAAAACCTTCTCCCATGTAACCACAAGGTATGATTCCAGATTAATGTCCCACTAGTTCCCTAAATGAACCAGACTGTTACTTATATCCTGTTCTGTAAACATACCCCTACCCTCTTTTACCTATTGAAATCAGACATCCCTTCCAAATTCTGCCAGCTCAAATAACTTCTCTCTTTTATGCCTACTATACAATTTCTACCATTATTACAAAGCCGAACCCATTACCTTTGGTAAATTCTAGAAATGCCTTCTCCCACGAGTGTAAGTTTGTGTGCAGACTACCTTTCTATTTTTTTGCATACCCCAGTGTTTGGCACAGTATCTTGCACATGGTAGATGCTCAGGATTCACTACATTAAATTGGAGAATGGTCTCAATTTCATTATCCCATTCTTACCCCAGGTACCTCTATGACTGAAAGCTCAAAGACATGCCTTCTCATTCTGAGTCAGATTCAGCATTAAAATTTCTTGTTTGATCCTCCATAAGGCTACAAGCCTAGCAAGTCAATTAACCAGAGGAAGACCTTTGAGAATTATCTGAAAGAGATATTTACATAGAAATGCTAACCTTAGAGACAAAACACTTTGATGATTAGACAATAAAACTCCAATGTTCCTTAAACTAAAATGAATAGGCTAGGTGAGGTGGTTCACGCCTATAATCCCAGCACTTTGGGAGGCCAAGGTGGGATGACGGATTGAGCCTAGGAGTTTGAGACAGCCTGGGCAAAAAGTGAGACCCCTCACTACGAAAAATTTAAAAAAAAAATAGCCAGGCCATGGTGGCGTGCACCTGCGGTCCAAGCTACTCAAGAGACTGAGGTCGGGGGATCGCCTGAGCCCGGGAGTTCAAGGCTGCAGTAAGCCATGATCATGCCACTACACTCTAGCCTGGGCAACAGTGTGAGACCCTGTCTTAAAAAATAAAAAAATAAAAAAAATGAATAGCTCTTAATCCTTTGCATATTAAGAAGTACTAGAGATATGACAGTATTCAAGGAAAGGTGTCTTTGAAAATTAGAATAGTTATAACAATTATGTCACCTATGTGATTACCTCATAAGACACACGAAATACTGTTCAGAGCACCTCTGTCTCTCTAGCCCTGATAAGAGGTTAAACCCTTGACAATTCCTGACAGAACTGAACCAACAAGCATATTACTAGTTTTAACCATTTTATCACAATTTCTATCAAGTACATTCTCATCTTAAAATATTTTAGAAAATATTCTAATGTTGACTAACTAGGTTGAAAGTCAACATCTGTGCATTCTAAATGTTAGTCTACATACTGACTTTCTACCTTTTAAATAAATGTAATATTTTTGCTCACATCTCCTAATTTTTGTTTGGGTTTTTTGTGAGATAGTGAAAGGAGAGTAAGCCTTAGCAACTATCTTAAATAAAATACATTCTGTTTTTATAAGGCAAGAGATTTGTGTATTTTACAATATATTTTATTACATAACCTACTTGGATAATAATTACAAAAGCTTTAAACAGTAATTCCAAGTAGTGAAAGGCAATTTCCTTTAAAAAAAAAAAAAAAAAAAAAAAAAAAAAAAAAGTCCACATTGGGTTTTGCTGCTTTATACACAGGAATGATTTACTTTACATACTAGTCAGTTGCAACATTAGCCTGTAAAATGAAATCCATTTTCTAAGGTCTCAAAGACAGAATCAGCTTCATAAGAATATGCTTTCACATTAGCCAGTCTGATAAAGGATAAACAACTTAAGACTATGGTAACAGTTCAAAATAAAATTTACAAAACAGGCACTTTGAAGTCAGCTACTGTGTGTAACTTCACAGTTAACGTTACTTGGACATATCTCATTTCATCAAAGGTTATCACCCAGTGAAGCCAACGTTCCTTTGATGGAGACGCACAAACAGATTTAGGTTCGAAACACCGTGTTCCAGTTGTAATACATGCAAGACAGACCCTAAGTTAGAAAAATCTTCTGAAAGAAAGTGAAGAAAAACAAAAAGCAGCCAGAAATGAAAGCATTTACAAGCACTTGAATAAGGCCTTTCAATGTTAAATCAGTGTTTTAAACCCCTTCATTCTCAGGTAAGGGATTAAGAGGCCGAGAGAGATATCGTCTGCGAGGGTGAGGATACTGGAGGTTGGCAGTGTCAGCATCGCAAGAGTGCTCTACCAGAGGAGGAGGAGGAGGAGGAAGGAGCTGGGCATAACTGGACCATCTCGATCCAGCCCGTGGGGAATCCAGAGGGGGAAAGAAATACCTGAAACAATGAAGACAGGAACAAAACACCAAACAAAACAAAAACAGGGAAAAAAAAAAAAAAAAAAAACACAAGAAAAAGAGAAAAGTAGTAAATACAGAGAGAACCAAAGAGGAGAAAACACATGCTAGAAAAAAAAAAAAAAAAAAGCTTTAGTATATTCATGCCAAAACTAACAGAACATAATAGCACAAATCAAGACCCTTACTCAAATCAAGATTGCTTAAGCAAGTATAGAAACTTGAAAAGAATACAATCTGTTAAACTTAAAATGTCAAAAAAAATCAATATAAATGTTACAAAGAAAAACATTAATTTTATAAATTCAAAACACTTTCTAATCTCTCAGAAACATCTGATGCTATTCTGTACATTTACAAATCTAATAAGCTTTTTCTCTTAAGCAATGGTTCACTCACAAGAGCAGCAAGCACACATTTTTTTTAGTGCATACATGATACTGGGAACACACACAGTATGGCTGGCTACTGCAACATGCGTTTGAACAACTACAAACACTGAACACTTATTTTTCTGCAAAAGCCTTAGGATAGCTACCAAATTTTGAGAAGTGAAAGGACTCACAAAATGACCGTGCCCTACTGTTACTCTTCTTCCATTTTGTAACTTACCCGTAACACTTACACATTTTAGCAAGCTTAAATATTTATAGCTTTGTTATCAAGGTCAGAGCTTTACAGGATATGAACTAATTTAAACAGCCAACTAAATTAAGAAAATCTTGAGACGTGGAATGCTGACATTAATTTACATGCACAATTTTAGTAAAATTTTAATGGCTTCTCTTAATAGTGTGTGTCCAAATTTTGATTTGAAGGAAACTAACCCATGGAATAAATAACACCATAAAAATATACAAATGTATATAAGAAACATTTATCTCTTTAGTGACTATGAATTAAAAACTTATAAAAAAGTGTTTCCATCTTACTTCCAAATTGTAAATGAAACAATACCAAATGCTTAACCTGGCTACAACTGTACAGTCAAGTTCCTTCATTTTACTATTACTACTTTACTAATTCACTCCTTTACTAATATTCTTTAAATACTACAAGGAAATGACAGAGTTGTACTGAATGTCATGTATAAAGCAATTCTACAAAAAGTAAATCACTCAAAACAATCTTTATAAAAAATATTTATTCAATCTTCAAATTAAAATTATAAAAGTTCATTTTAAGCTGTTTTAAGAAAGCAAAAGAAATATGTCTATATTTTCCAAATGAAATAAAGTGATATTTCCCCTCCTCCCAACTACTTAGATAAGAATGGTAACAACCCTTTTAATCTTTAAACCCAAATTAGTTTCAGGAATATTTCAAAAAATTGTTTTGGTGACAATGTCTCAACAGAAAGCCTCTCCATTTATATTTCAAAAGTTTCAAATAGTGTCAATAAACTGACTAGTACAAAAAAATATACACTGTATTTTTAAAGGCCTTTAGGATTGCGTTTAGTAGTAAGCAGGCTGCTGGTGTATCTTGGGAGAGGTCAAACGGCGCTGGGGAAGGGGAAAAGGAGCTCGCTTTCCATTCCTGTGTGCATGCAACAAGCAGCAAAACAGCAAAGTTACTCCAGTTAGCTTGTACTCAGCTGTGCTTTCTGTTAAAGGACATAATACAAATGGAAAAGGGAAATGCATCACAGATCCAACACAGATGGTTATCGGCACAATAAGAATACAGATCAAAAAACAGAAGCTATTTACAAAAGAAAATACGCAGTACAGGCAGTGACCAAGAACCAGCCTTAAAAAATCAACTCTACTTATTTGTTTCATGAAATAATCTTTATAATCTGGTATCTTCCACGGTAACCTGAAATCGTTTTGATGCACATACTTAAAAACTCAAAATCAAAAGCAGGACTTCTTTATAAAAACATAACAATATAAAAATAGTTGAAATTTTAAATACAATTTTCTTATTTTATTTAGGATAACAACAGGATAACCACAGGACAGTCCATTAGGCTGTGTTTTGACGTTTCCTGAATTCTATTCCAAATTATTCACAAAGACATATTAAAATAATTTTATCTTACAAATTCACATATTTAAAATTTGAACATGAAAACAAAAGGATGACTCTTTAGATGACATCAAATATTCCTTATTATGATACACAAGAATGTAACATACGTTAACTATTCTAAAAATCAATCTCAGGTTTTATTATTTCCTCTTATTTCCATTAAACTTTAAACACAAAAGCCAAATAATTTAATGTACTCTCTTCTAAAAAGCCTTAATAAATGTATTTTATTTAAAATTGCAGTTTGACCTAATGCAAAGACCACACTACAAGCAGTGAAAAACACTAATGTTCATTTGGACTAAAACCCTCACTATTAAACCAGATAACCTTCCTCTCACTGTTGCAGAAGTGAAGTTGAATCTTAAACCTGTAACATTTCTACCGATAGACCACTAAAGCTTCAGAATATAATGTAATGACCTCATAACCTACCTGCAAATGTTATGACCAAGTAAGCCAAATACAGAGGTAACGAAATGAACTCTTAAATGCTAATATAATCACATGTGAACATTTCCACTCCATCTTATAATCCAGGAAATAATCCACCTTAAGTAGAGCTACCAGAATGATTTAAAACAAAGAGAATTTCCAGTTCTCCCATGAACAGCCTACCTGCCAGTAGAAGATCCATTTAATGAATTCTGAAGACTTGGAATATTTGAACCTAGGGAAGGATTTGAGTTTCCCTGCTGAGAACTCCCATTGACTGGGCTCCCATTACCTTTCAAAATACCAGTACACTTCCAATTGTCCATATAATTAGCTGAAAGGAAAATAATCAAATACATTAACGTGATTAATACCAATGCCTAAGGGCACAAATCCGTACCCATGTCCTTAAATTACAATTAAAGAAATGAGGGAGAGGCTGGGGGCTACATTTCTTTCAGGATAAACATTAAAGACACTTTTTAAATGGAAGACACATTGTCTTAGTTTTAACAAATTTTTAGAAGTTTTCAAAGTGTCAATAACTTTAAAAATATAAAGCTTTCACCACCCATGTTACAGATAATAGCAGAGACAATTTTCTGAGCTACCGTATTATCACATTATGAAATTAATATTAAAATCTCCATTATAATATTAAAGTCTTCATTTTAATGAATTTCACTTACATATGTAAGGTAATGAAATTGTCTTCTTAATTATGCAAGTGTAAGTTATATGGGTACCTAATGTCTTCTGAAATGGATGTAGGTAAAAAACCTTTGGAGATTGAGTGGCTTATCCAAAATGGCCTTATTAGTTTGAATGCAAAATTGGTCTCTGAAGACAATGAGCCCAAGAAAATCAAGTTAGGCAGCCTGCTGGGGAGCATGGCAAGGTGGTCCTGACTAAAGCCCAGAGGCAGAAAAGGACAGCAAAGCCCTTGAAATCAAATTACACTGAAGAAAGGAAGGTCTGAGCTGGTTTTGCCAAAGCCCAAAATCGAACATGGGAGGCCCTCAAGCTTACCCAAACTGCACTTCGGGAAACAGTCACTGCTAAAGAGTACATAAACTAAGACAGCTATAATTTTGAATGCTAAGTATGGGACACCATTCCTTATGGTGGTGCACAAATCACAGAAATCTCTGCCCAACAGATAATCATCCGAAAAGCAGTGCAGAACCACGCTACAGCGACCACAGTCAGTGTCAACTGTCCAGACCTTCTCACTCAGCCTGGCACTTATAACAACTTCCAACCAGGGCCCCAAGCAGGGAAGACACTGGATTTTCTCCTATTAAGGACTGATTGTCTGAAGTAATCTATTTGATAAAGTAACAGCGACTGTAGTCCTCGCCTGAGTCTGTAGAGAAGTCATGTAAGGTACATAGATGGCAACTGGTATCTTTTTACTGCAGATACTGCATATTCTGTGGTAATTACTTCAGTTTTAAAAGTTGCTCTGTTCCATATAACTTGAAAAACAATTCAGTGATTAACTGCTATGAACCAGGTAAACTGATGTTCGAAATAACATAAATTAATATGACATTAAAAGTAACCGTAAAAGACCATTTTTAAAAAATATTTCAGAGTTTACATTTTTAAGTAAAAACTCCAGAGCAGAAATATAAACCAACAATCACCCCTCCACTGAAATCTTACCTTTCCACAATCTTACACAGCCATCATCTCCTGAAGATGCTAGCACCGTTCCTGTTATATTCCAACTCACTCGCCAGACCTGAGAATTATGATTATCAAACTGAGCCACTATATGGATTTCAAACTTTGTTGGCCCACCAGAGGAAGTCAGTTCTTTCCTGTTAATAAAAAACATTTTCTGAGGCATTCTAAGCAAAGTTTTAAAATACACACACACACACATATAAAATTCTAAATTAGCAGTAGTGGTCTCACCACCACATCACTTTATAATAATGTACTCATCTGCATAAACCCCACCCTTGGCCCTTGAGCTGGGCCAATGTCATTTCCATTTAACTCGCCAAGGCCTGGAGTGATCCCAGCACATAAACGATATTCAGTGACTGTTTCATGGAAGAAAGAAACAACAAAACAGGATGATTTTATTCTCCCACACAAGGCCGAGGAATGAAACAGATGACAATAATTAATTTAAAAAGGCAGGGCAAGGCCACGTGCAGTGGCTCACACCTGTAATCCCAGCACTTTGGGAGGCCAAGATGGACAGATCACTTGAGGCCAGGAGTTCAAGATCAGCCTGGCCAACATGGCGAAACCCCGTCCCTACTAAAAATACAAAATAAAAAATTAGCCAGGCATGGTGGCGGGCGCCTGTAGTCCCAGCTACTCAGGAGGCTGAGGCATAAGAATTGCTTGAACCTGGCAGGTAGAGGTTGCAGTGAGCCAAGATCATGTCACTGCCCTCCAGCCTGGGCGATGAAGCGAGACCTTGCCTCAAAAAAAAAAAAAAAAAAAAAAAGGCAGGGCAGCAAGTAGGAAAGAATGAAAGAACAGAAAGAAAAGAACTGGAATTCACAATTCAAAATTAAAGTTAAATATGTTATTCACAAGACTGTATCAATACTAATTTAGTTTTCCCTAGACTGCCACTTGTCATTAAATATTTATAGAATATCAGTTATATTCGGAGAATTGTTAGCATCAGCCTAAATAAAGCACAATTAAGAGAATATAAATCTACTCTTTACTCAATTCCTCTTTCCGAAAAGACATATATTTATATATAAAATGTTCATTCAATAATCCATTCTTCAAAAATGACATTAATTTAAAAGTAATTGTAAAAGACCATTTTTAAAAAATATTTCAGAGTTTACATTTTTAAGTAAAACTTCCAGAGCAGAAATATAAACCAAATCACAGTTACCTCTACTCTCTCCTCCACAAACAAAGGTAATCAGGAGGCAAGAGTATTTTCAAATTCATAAATGCTTCGAAAACTCACCTCACAGGTTTTAATGTAAAAATTCTCACATCTTTGGTTGCTATTGCTAGAATATGGAAAGATCTTCCCAAGTTTGGAGCGAATGCAATATCATGAACGGGATCAGTGACTGTCATAAGAGTTTCAGCTTTTGCATATTTCCTAATGGAAAAACAAACAATTTAAACATTTTAGAAATAACATGTACAAAGAAGCACACATCACTGCATCGCACCTTTTTCACACTGCTCACAGTCATGCAGCGCTCACCTCTGTAGTGGGCTCAACAGTGGTCCTGACCCCCAGAACCTGTGAACGTAACCTTATTCAAAAAAGGTCTTTAGGACCTCAGAATGACATCCTAGATTTAGGGTGGGTCCTAAATCCAATGCGCAGTAAGTATCCTTAAAAAAGAAGAGGAGAGATGTAGAGAGACAGAGGAGGCAGCCATGTGAACACAGAGGCAGAGACTGGAGTCTTGCTGCCACAAGGCAAAGAACTCCTGGAGCCAGCAGGAGCCAGACTAGACCAGGAAGGATTCCAGAGGAAGCACAGCCCCGCCGACACCTCGATTTCAGACTTCCGGCCTCCAGAACTGAGGGAATACACTCTGTGTGAAGACACCTGATTTGTGGGAATTTGTTATGGTAGCCCTAGGAAATTAATACAACCTCCCATGTTTCCTCCTCTGATAATGTACACCGAGCTTGAAATGGTTTAATAAAAATTTAACTAGAATAAGGTCTTGGCTGGCCACAGTGGCTCACGCCTGTAATCCCAGCATTTTGGGAGGCTGAAGTGGAAGAAATGCTTCAACCCAGTAGTTCAAGACCAGCCTGGGCAACACAGCAAGACCCCACCTCTACACAAAACACAAAAATAGCTGGGCGTGGTGGTGCACACCTGTAGTCCCAGCTGCTTAGGAGGCAGAGATTGCAGTGAGCTGAGATTACACCACCGCACTCCAGCCTGGACAACAGATTACACCACTGCACTCCAGCCTGGGCAACAGAGTGAGGCTCTGTTGCAAAAAAAAAAGGAACCCGAGATGGCTGCACTCTTGCTGAGACGTGTTCATTGTCATTACCTCCAAGCCCACTTTGGCCCTCAGCTCCGTATCAGAAATGCTGTTCCCTTGGGAACCACGGCAAAAGAAGAGATAAGAGCGGTTCTGGAATAAGAATATAGGTTCAAACCGTGCTGTGTCTCCCCACATCACTATCTACAGCTGGTCTCTTCCCGTGGTGATGTCCATCGGCCGCCGTGGCACTGGTATTGCTTTCAGTGCAGGAGTCTCTCTTTTTGGCACGTCGGCCCTGTTACTCCCCGGGAACTTTGAGTCTTATTTGGAACTCGTGAAGTCCCTGTGTCTGGGGCCAGCACTGATCCACACAGCTAAGCCTGCACTCGTCTTCCCTCTCACGTATCACACCTGGAATGGGATCCGACACTTGATGTGGGACCTAGGAAAAGGCCTCAAGATTCCCCACGTATACCAGTCTGGAGTGGCTGCCCTGGTTCTTACTGTGTTGTCCTCTATGGGGCTGGCAGCCATGTGAAGAACGGAGGTGCCCAGCATCATCTTCCTACACGTTACATTCACCCATCTTTCTGTTTGTCATTCCTATCCCCAGCCTGGGAAAACTTCTCCTTATTTGTTTAGATCCTTTTGTACTTTCAGATCCCCTCGGAGCGGTAGACTACCTTGTAGATCATAATCGTGGAAAAGGGTCTAGTTTTCCCCTTGTTTCTAAAAATGGGGTGGCTGCAAAAACTCCCCTTTTTTGCCCACAGCTTGCCTACTCTCGGCCTAGCAGCAGTTATTCTCTCTCCATACGGGGCTTTGATTTGTGCTGAGGGTCAGCTCTTGGCTCCTTCTTCCTGAAACAGTGGAAACAATGCCAGCTCCGTGGCTTCTGCCCTGGGGATGGGGGATGAGGCTTTGGGTGCCACTGCCTGTGGGCTGCTGGCTTAAAGGACAATTCTGTTCTCTGCTGGGAGCCCAGGCCATTAACACCTACGCAGTGTTAATGAAAGAAGAGAAGTGACGGGAGGGGAATTAGTCTGTCCCAGCTAGAGGGAGATCAAGAGGGCTACTTAGTTCTTGGAGCAGCTGCTTGTGACGAGAAAATATGTAGAGCTTTTGATGCAAGAAGAAAATCCAGAAAATTGTCACTGAACATATTGTTAATGCTTTTTCTTGGATTTCCAGAACAGCTTCTTAATTTTATACTTTCTCATCAAAGGCATGTACCATTTTTTGAAACTGAATTAAAATACTCATTTAAAAAAAAAAGGAATAAGGTCTTGATTTATTAGCCACTGACACCTCTCTTAGGAAAAGAGTAACGCGTTGCCTGAGTATTTGAGTGTAAATAAAAAAGTAAAGCTGGTAACAGGAATTGAGGTTTTTTCGGTTTTCCGTTTTTTTTGAGATAGAGTTTCGCTCTCGTGCTGGAGTGCAATGGTGCGATCTCGGCTCACTGAAACCTCCGCCTCCTGTGTTCAAGTGATTCTCTGCCTCAGCCACCTGAGTAGCTGGGATTACACGTATGCACCACTACGCCCGGCTAATTTTGTATTTTTAGTAGAGACGGGGTTTCACCATGTTGATCAGGCTGATCTCGAACTCCTGACCTCAGGTGATCCACCCGCCTCTGCCTCCCAAAGTGCTGGGATTACAGGCGTGAGCCATTGCGCCCAGCAGGAATTGAGTTAGGTGATAATAAAAGGAAACTATGCAAAGGCTATTTCATCTTTGCAATTCTATTTCTTTACGTATAAACACAGAATAAGAGATAATGAAGGCAGTGGTAGATCAGAGTTTTCTACTAGGTTCTTCTAAGATTGAATATCCCGGACAGAACCGCAGCACGAAACCCTGAGTGCAGGAGACTGGGTGGAGACATCTCCCCATCCCACCTTTCTACTACCTTCTTCTAAAATAGTGGCGCTTCCAGCGTTTTGTGCTTGACCTTCTTCTCACCCCAACATTCTTCCTAAAATATCTACCAAGCTGGTACACACCTCAAGGTTCTCTCCTTGACCTTTCTCACCCATCCAGTCACCCTAAGCAATCTCATCCACATCCTTGCTTCTACTGTGTGGTCTGCAGTCGCCTGGAAACTTCTGGGAAATCCAGAAATCTCAGCCCCTTCCCGGGGCCTACACAAGCAGAACATGCATTTTTTTTTTCTTTTTTGAGACGGAGTCTCACTCTGTCGCCCAGGCTGGAGTGCAGTGGCGTGACCGCAGCTCACTGCAAGCTCCACCTCCCAGGTCCACGCTATTCTCCTGCCTCAGCCTCTCAAGTAGCTGGGACTACAGGCGCCCGCAACCACACCCGGCTAATTTTTTTTTTTTGTATTTTTTAGTAGAGACAGGGTTTTACCATGTTAGCCAGGTTTCGATCTCCTGACCTCATGATCCACCTGCCTCGGCCTCCCAAAGTGCTGGGATTACAGGCGTGAGCCACTGTGGCCGGCCAGAATATGCATTTTAACAAGATCCCCAGATGATTCACACAGACACTGAAGTGTCTACACTCATGGTTTCAGTACCTACAAACCAGTAATTCCTAAATCTATCCCCTGCAATTCAGGACCTTCTACCAAAGGCCAGAAATAGGACAGAGGGAGCTAAGAGCACACATGCTGCAGCCAAAACGTATTTGAATCCAGGCTGTAACTTGACCTTCAGCAAGAAGTTCTCCATAAAGTGGGAGTAACACCAGAACTGTGGCAGAGAGATTCTAAGAGTCCCCATGACCCGCACCTCCTGGTGGTCATGCCCTTGTAAAGGCTCCTCTCCATGAGTGTGAGTGCGGCCCACGGTTTGTTTTCTACCCAGGGAAAGGAACATGGCAAGGTGGCGGGACAACACT